AAACCATGATTAGTAATATTGATAAGGTGCATCCTAAGATAGTGTAAATCAAAGTGGTTCAAATGAGGGCCCCCGGGGGTAGGGTGGGGTCAAAAGAAGATAGGCGTGTGATCTGCAGGAATCATTTGTACGAAACATTTATGATTTAAGGACAGATGATACAAACAAACTTTGGAATTTGAAGTGAAAAATATTTGTATATATAGATTAATAAGGATGGTTTCAGAAGGGCAGACTTTTTTAACATCACAGAAGGTTTACAATTTTTTTTATATTTTAGAAATTTATTACTTGCATCATTTGCAATGAAATAAGGTCAAAAAATATATACCAATCCAGGCATCCAATTTTTGTTTGTATCATCATCTGTCCTTAAATGTCCATGATTTGGTTGGCTGAACATAGCTGGTCAGATTTTACAAATACAACCAAAGGATTTTTTTTTTCATTTAGTTTGAAATCCCTTGTCAGATTGTAACATTTATGACCGTTTTTTCCTTGGAGGTACAATAACATAGTAATGTTTCACAGAGAAATAAACACCTATAAAATTAAAGGCATAGATAATAAATGTACATGTACATCACAGAATAGAAGATTGGAATCAATTTCGCTCGAGAACCAAACTGAACCCAAATTTATCTGATTCAAAATTTTAATACATCGGTACATAAAATGAAACTGACAAAATAAATAGTTGCTTGCATGAAGTGTCTGATCTAGCCAATTTTCCAGTTATTTTTAACAAATCAAAGTTCACTTTCGGGAAAATGTTTTCTTTCCTATTGCACAGGATCCCGAAGAATAAAATAAATGTTAAAATTTCAAGTGAAATGTCAATAAAATTTTCACTGTTCAAGTATGCCCAGATTCCTGCCGAATGCCAATCAAAATCGCCCTCGTTCTTTTGAAAATTTATTAAAAAAAAAAAATCTGCTCAATTTCCTCAATAAGAGCAAAGCCATTTGCTATACTGATATGGAAGCATCATCAGGTAGTTTAAAATTCAACCCCCCGTAATCTTTTCAATACTGAACTAATTTTTGCTCCCCCAGCCAATATACTCAGGTGAGCGATGTGGCCCATGGGCCTCTTGATTCCTATATATGTCAATGTAAAATTTAGATTCCCTATTCTGGCCCCATATCCTACCCCAGGGGTCCTGATTTAAAAATTTAGAATTTACCCTTCCCCAGAATTCATCTACATAAGTTTCAGCTTTTCTGGCCCTATGATCCTTAAAGAAGATTTTAAAAGACCCCACCCTGTATTTGTCGTTTGGTTTTCTCCCTTTTTAAGGGAGCTTGGCTCCTTATTTCAACAACTTAAACTCCCCTTGTGGGTACAAAAGTGGTACAATTGAAAATTTTCATTTTTCTCAGTAACTGTTCAGTCAATTCTTTTGAAGTATTTAAAATAGTCTTATTATAGTCTGGCTTCTGAAAAATGTACAATGTAATGCTACATAGCCATGGAAACAAAAAAGGATTTTATTAATTGAATTTTTTTCACAATTGGTTTTCAAACTTATTTTACTTATTGATTATGTTGATATGTCACTAAGACTTAGTGTCTCGTCAAGCTTCTGGGGACCAATATCTAAAACAGCATGCTGTCGTTGCCATGGAACTTAAGATATTTTGGTTAATCCAATTTTGAAAAACTTGAAGGTACGTACTCTCTGCTTTCAAATCCAATATAACACCTTTGATGTCGAAAAGATCTAGACATATTTATGCTTCGGCTTGCAAAAACAGTTTTTTCTAATATTGTTTCGTGATTTTTCCTATTAAGAACTACTCGATAAAATGGTGTTTGTATGAAATCCATCAATCACATAGATTTTAAGAGTTTTCTCGGACTCTCTTTGTAAAGAGCATCGATCCTACTCTGGGAAAGAAAGAGGGAGTAACTTTGTTCTTCTCGGGAGGAAGTCCGTCTTTAGAATAGAGGAAATAAACGATCATTTTTTACCCCATGACCTTGAAGTTTGAACTACTTTTCAAAAATGTTATTTTTCCTTTTTATTGAAAAGAAAAAGGGATTTCATATTTGGCATGTACGAAAGCCTATTAGGATCAATCTAGAGAGAAAACAAATTTAAAAGGCGTTATAACGCCTTTCGAAAAGGCGTAATAACGCGAAAAAAGGCATTATAACGCCTTTTGAAAAGGCGTTATTACGCTTTTCCATTCCAAAAGGCGTTATTACGCCTTTTTAAAAGGCGTTGTAACGCCTTTCTAAAAGGCGTTATTACGCCCTCCATTCTAAAAGGCGTTATTATGCCTTTCCAAAACGCGTTATTACGCCTTTCCAAAAGGCATTATAACGCCCTTTTAAAAGGCGTTATTATGCCTTTCCAAAAGGCGTTATTACGCCTTTCCATTCTAAAAGGCGTTATTACGCCTTTCCAAAAGGCGTTATTATGCCTTTCCAAAAGGCGTTATTACGCCTTTCTAAAAGGCATTATAACGCCTTTTTAAAAGGCGTTATTACGCCTTTCCAAAAGGCATTATTACGCCTTTTTAAAAGGCATTATTACGCCTTTCCAAAAGGCGTTATTACGCCTTTTACTTTCAATACATAACTAAACATATTTAGCCCAACCGAGGGTGTGTGTGTGTGTGCAGAAATCGTACCTTTGGGACATGAATTTCACAATTAGATATAGGACTAATTTCGCAAAAAATAATTTAAACAGATAGCAAATAGATAAGAAGAGAGAAAAATTTCTTCAAATGACATAAATTTTAATACATGGCAAGCAAAGCTCCAAGATAAACCTGCCTATATTCTAGATCTTCACAGGTAGAGTGTTGCCTTCTCTTAATACGAATGCAAACAGTTGTCAGTGAAATGTGCAGGAATATAGAGAACTGCATAAATAAAGATGGTTAACGTTTTAATTAAATCTTTATATATTTATTAAAATAAGATAACGCCTTTTCCTTTTCATGTAGGCCAGTATTGCGATTGCGAATGGGGTAATCCCCCCTCCAAACATACACACTTTTGAGGAAAAGTCTTGCTACAGTTTAAATATTATAATTAACTATTGGTTTCTTGGTTCCTGAACATTTTGTTGCAGTATGTAAAACTGTGGCAAATTATTGCATTTAAATAAAGTTTTACCGAGTATTTCCCCCACGAATTTGGCCAGTGGTGTGTGTGTGTGGGAGGGGGGGGGGGCTATTAAAAGCGCGGGCCTGTTAAATGCAAAATAATGGTTATTCAAAAAGCATAAAACTTTTTTGGAAAGGCATAATAACGCCTTTTAGAAAGGCGTAATAACGCTTTTTAGAAAGGCGTAATAACACCTTTTAGAAAGGCGTAATAACGCCTTTTAAGAAGGCGTAATAACCCTTTTAGAAAGGCGTAATAACGCCTTTTGGAAAGGCGTAATAACGCATTTCCAAAAGGCGTAATAACGCTTTTTAGAAAGGCGTAACAACGCCTTTTAGAAAGGCGTAATAACGCCTTTTGGAAAGACGTAATAACGCCTTTTGGAAAGGCGTAATAACACCTTTTGGAAAGGCGTAATAACGCCTTTTGGAAAAGCGTAATAACGCCTTCTAGAATGGAAAGGCGTAATAACGCCTTTTAGAAAGGCGTTATAACGCCTTTTAAAAAGGCGCTATAACGCCTTTTGGAATGGAAAGGCGTAATAACGCTTTTTTTCGCGTTATTACGCCTTTTCAAAAGGCGTTATAACGCCTTTTCAATTTTTTTTCTCTCTAGATTGATCTTAATAGGCTTTCGTAGGCATGTGCATTACATGTAACAAGATGTCCCAGCATGCTATGATTTTGACCCCTTGACCTTCATCTAATTTTCAAAAATTTAACTTTGGTGATTACTTATGAATGACAATTGATTCATTTTTTTTTTTTTTGAACAGAACAGAACATTTTATTTCTAATTTAGAGCCCATAACAGACAAGTATGAGGTTGTTACATGTACAATAATAAGGAAAAGATAAGACATGCATCAAAAAAGGTCACTTGAGCTTTGAACTTAGGTAACCAAAAATGTATTCTTGTATATGCATATTTTATTCCTTGTATGACAGATGCTGCAATAGGATGCAAATTATTATTTCTGAAATCAAAACAACTAGACATTTTTCTTATGCTATTTATATATTTTTATACCCAGTCATTTCAGACGTAAAATTGTGCTTTAGATTCTTAAAATTTGGTTTTAAAGTTATTTTAAATAAATGTAAACATTGTGATTTTTATAGGTTCTTGTACCGTGGTGAATTTAAAAAAAAAAATCTTGGCTCTCCTTTTTCCAGGAGGGTTAGATAGTCGAAATTAAAATGTCCATGATCACCTAGCTCTCTACTGCCTAAGACATGAAATGTTTGGAGTCTTTGACATTGCTCTTAAGTGAAATGTTTGAAAATTTCTCTGTCTGAACTATGGTCCTCTATTAAATCTGAAATTGAAATGTCTGAAGTCCTCAAAGGTTAAACGCCTACTTCAATTCCATTCAATTTAAAGATCCTTTTAAATATTGAGTCGATGTTTTATGAACATTTTTATGGAATTCATTTTTTTTAACGAAGGGGAAATTAAATCCCCTTTTGAAATTTGGGTTGAGTTTGGGTTTACATCTTAAACATAATCAAGTCATATCGGTCTCTATTAACGTAAGCCTTGCAAAGATTTAGCTGGGTGAGGAGACACAATTTTTCTTCAGCACCGCTGTCAGTCCTGAGAGACGTTATGGTCTCGGCTCTGTTGCCCAATATATCCCCAGCCTCTTAGGTTAATCGATATGTCGAGATGGAGTTCTGCTAAACTCCGTACTTATCTGAACTTTATTTTACTTGTAGAATGGACAGAATTTCAAGAAATTGTTAAAAGAATTTAATTATGAAAATATTTTTGTGACAAAAATACATGTAAATAACACATGTCAAATTGCATAACTTCTCCATATAAAATGAACATTTTTATTAGACATAACAATTAAATTGTATTTAAATCACTCAGACTGGTTCATCTGGCCATGATACAGGGTAAATGCTTATTTTCTTTCTAAGTATCAACTCTCCGTATTGCAAAAAGACCAACCTTTGAACACCATAACGTACAAACAGACAGACAATATATAACTAACATTACACATTCATAAGCTTACAACATAATAACTTAAAAGTTTTGCGCACATACACTCACACACAAATTTATAGCATATGTAACTTATTTTAGTATTTCAATGAACACAAAAGTACAATATTATTAACCTTCACTTAAACAAAAACTAACAACAAATCCAACTTACAAAAATATTGCAAAAACATACAAACTTACAAAATATGGTATGTACAAGTTAATAATTTACAGTCAATCTAACAATATTATTGACTTGGTGTGCACTCACAGACAAACATACAATATGAAATACTTGTTAAACATACACACTTTTTTTGGTAAAGCTTATTGTCTCTCTGCCCTACACAGGTGAACATGTGAGTTTGGTCGTTGTCTATCTAATGTCAGCATCAAGCAACATAATTATAATTAACTGACGCCTGACAGTAATACTACGTTATTTCTCTACCCGAGATCAATTAAAAAATATGGCCAAGCTTATGATTTCTCCACATTTAGATGAGATGCCTATATATATTTTTGGAGATCAAAACAGGAGAAAATGAATCTACACCCATTTCATTGATAATTGTTTTATCAAGATATTTGAATTACAACTTCAACAAGCTAATTCAGAGAAAATGTGTCCTCTGCTTATGGAAATAGAAGAGCATGCACTGAGTCGGGGGGGGGGGGGGGGGGGGGGGCACGACGAGGAACGGGCGAGGTCATAAGTTGTAAAAAAAAAATAATAATAATTGCAAAAGCTCAAACGATTCTTGAGATATCACTCGTAAATGAAAGTTTTACGCACACACAGAATGTATGAATTTATGACCTTGACTTTTGACCTCAAAATCAACAGATGTCTTTCTTAGGCCATGAGGAGTTGTGATATTAAATTTCATTGCAAAAGCTCAAAGGCTTACAGAGATATCGCTCGGAAACGAAAGTGTTAAAAAATTATGACGTTGACCTTTGACCTCAAACTCTGTAGGGGTCTTTTTTAGGCTATGGGGAATTGTTATGTAAAATTTCACTGCAAACGCTCAAAGGCTTTTTGAGATATCTTGCGGAAATGAAAGTGTTACAGAGAGACAGACGGGCGGACAGATTGACTTTCAGTGAAAGCGGGGGGACAACATACATTTTCCAGTGACCTTTGACCCTGAGTCAAGAGAATGACACACCTTCAGGTCAAGGACAGCAGCAATCAAATCCCAATAATGATTCAAGAATTAAGGTCTGCAAATGAATTTGTGACCGATGACAAACATTTATTCCAATATATTATTTTTCCTGTTTGGGTGCTTTTAAAAAAGATCGTGGATGGGAAGGGGTTAATTAAACTGTGTAAAATATCATTGCCGAATCATGTTAGTACGTGAACTGCTCAATAAGAGCGTATACAATGCAATATTGACTATGATATTCTACATAAAAAATCAACACCACAGATAAATTGATTGCGTATCATAACATGTTCCATCTACTTCAATTTTTGAAAATAAATAAAAAAAGAAAGATGCTTTAAGGGTGCATTAATGAGGTAGCAGAGTTAAAGAGTTAAGTCCCTTTACTGCTTTTCTTATTCCTGTCGCTAGGGGAATCAATTTGCCAGAATCTCACCGGAAATCAAATACATGTAATGCTTTAAATTTGTAAATGCGAAAATCCATAATTATCATATGAATATTAAACCCAATCCCCTAGAACTTTTGGTATGAGAATATATTCTCCAAATCTACTTAAATATCACAGAGCAAACGGACGAAGGTGTACAGTTCGGCTATCGAGATTCGGAGATTGTGAGCCCTTGTACATCAACGTATTTGTAAGTTACATGCAATAGAAATTTCCGTATCACTATGTAAAGCATGCTCTTGCGTATCAAAAAGACGAAAGTAACGAACTGAAATACATTTAAAATTTTGAAATTTCTCGGTTTGACAAGATTCAAACATCTAATCCTTGATTTGCATGCTGTAAGCAGAACTATACATGTATACCATTCGGCAAACAGCGCCACCTAAAACTGTTCACATCCCTTCCTTCACAGTGTAACTCTAACATCATAAAAACAAAATAAAATCCCATAGACATTGAGCTACATCCGTGTCCAACAGCTTCAGAGAATTGTGAAAACAAGTGCAGGTATTTTATAGTGTTCAAAATTTGTCACTATCTGAAATATTTTAACTAAAATATTATAACTTGATGAGTAAACCGAGTATTTCAACCTTGTTCAGAACGTTGAGAAGGGAAACAACAGAAAAAATGCATTCAATGACAAAAGCCACAGAGAAACTCCAACCACTTTCCGGAAAATCTTATTATACATACAAAATGATATCACAGACTCAGTTAACCTGTGCAGTATACTAGTATATATAAACTGTTAAAAATTTACTGACTCTATGCTTCTTAGGGAGAATAATGTGCAAAGGGGTGCATTTCATTTTTTCTATAAGGAAGTAACTATACAAATGCATAACAAACAATTGCTAAATTTAAAAAAGAAAGTTTCGATAATTTGGGTAAAATAAGAGGTAATCAGCATCCATTTAAAGTGCAAAGATAAAAACAAAATTCTTCAGGTAATCAAAATTGATAATTTGGAAATGCAACGTGACCTTTTCCGAGTATATAGGCCTACGTTAAAATGGCATCAATCCTTTCAATATATCAATTATAGTTGCTATCCAGTAATAATCTACAAGCCGACACTGGGCTGACGGATTGTTTAATTCATGCCACATCCGGACCATTTCCTCTGGGTAGTAATGATGGCCGACAATGAAATCCCGGAAGGATACCCCACAGGGTCCCCGGTCTCGATAACTACAGGAAAACTCTTTATGTCCAACAACTTTCGCTCCAATTTTTTCCCTGCAAAGTCCTGCTACGAAAATATCCTCAATGAAAAAATATGGAACATCAAATGAAGCACGGTAAAGTTTGGATATGATGTCCCCAGTGATGAGATAGGCGGGCCCTGTTATATATACAGGGTAGGTGTCAGCACTGTACTGCTCTCTAGTCACGTGCCATTTGAATAAAAAGAATCTCACAGGGGCATTTTTGCTCTCTTCACATCCAATAACAGAATTTTTGGGATCCCATTTTTCAAGTTCTAACATAAGTCTACGTATATTAAAAAATATATCATCGTCAACCTTTATAAGGTATTTCGTTTTGCTACAGTGGGTATGTGCCCATTTTAAAATTGCTATAGATTTATAAGTCAATTTATCATAAGCCTCCGTTACGTTTGTGTCTAAGATGTCGTTGAAGACGGCTTTCTCAAGATTAATACTTTCCCGAACAACCGGATCTTGAGTTTTTCCTATCACGAATATCAATCGAACACTCTTGTCTACTTTTGCCACAGAACCCCATGATTCTCGTATTGCATTACGGTGTTTGAAATTAGAGACTTCGCTGTTAACCATAACCAACATAAAAACAGACTCCCCGTCATTCTCGCAGGGCTCCAGCGGCGATAGTGTTTCTTTAAACTTTTCTTTGAGTAAGGCCTTTTTTATGTCGTTGTTTGACCACGTGAACACAATTTGTTTGGGATTTGAATTGATGGATTTTTGCATGAAGAAGAGTGACGTCACAACAAACAAGCCTGTCAGTTTCCATAATGTTGAAATCTTCACTTCCCGGACATGGCAATATCTGGTTTTCAGCCTCCTTACAAAGGAATTAATGGATGGAAACATCTGCAATCAATACAGAAATCAATATAATCATAGCGTGATAGTAGCTAATAGTAATAGATGTGACTTCAACATACAACATACATTTTCCAAGAGCTTTACTTCCCTAGCAGTATAACGACAAACATGATTTATTAGATGTAAAGCACCGCCTTATCAATTTTTCTGACTTCACCAAATCAAGATTATAGGTAAGATGGTTGAGTTTCTACTTTTTTAAAGAAAAATAATCTTACAAAGGAGAATTTTGAGTCAAATCACAAATTATCTATACCGGACAAAGGTAATTTGTTAAGGAAATTCAACAGGAAAATGTTCAACATTGTGCATTTTATGTCGTATACGAAACAAAATGAGAAACAGAGAGACTATTGTTCCCTAATTTATTTGCTGAGTTGAAATCTTGTATCAACAGTGTGATTTGCCCAGGTTTTAAACTTTTTATTTGGTTATGGAGGATAGTTCTGTATTCAAACAAGCATGTGTTTGTTTAAGACGGAAGTGGAAAATGTAACAGAACATTCCTAGGAAGTTTTAGAATACCGGAGTATATACTTCTTAATTTTAAAATTATCTATAAAAAAATGAATTACACGTGTACCATATTTTGGTATTTCTGAATTGTTTGTTGTTTTCGAAACCTAAAAAAAGGGGGTACTGATTACAGACAGTGATAAGGTACTATACTTCCGGTTTATCTCCCTTTACTCTCTGTTATTTATAATTAATGTATTTTAACGTAACAACAGAATATCACGATGTATTGATTTGTTAATTAAGACACATGGTGTTTTTATGCTGCAAGATATACCAGCTTTATCATCAGGCTCATCAACTATTGACAGAAATTTAGACTCCACTTTTCAATATGTATAGTCTATGTTGCATTTTAGAAATCGAAGAGAGAGAGAGAACATTATGCTGTATATTGAATCTCTATACTTACATTTTGAATAAAAAGATACATGGGGTATATAGTTATTGTGTTGTTACACCTGCTACACTTTAAATACACAATATAAGGGAAGGTTCCACATGCTTTCCCCTGTTGTGACAACGCATAATCCTCGAAACCAGAGCACAACCCCCAACGTGCTAGGTGCCTTTTGATCAACGTTCATACTGCTGTATCCTCAACAAAAACATTTACCATGTCACCAAGGTTAAAATTTACATTTACAATTAAAGCATTGAAACGGTTCTATTCCTATAATACGAAAATTTGCAGAATTAGTTAACTAACTACAATTTGAGTATATTTCCTCAAAATCAAACAAGCATCATTCAATTTAAAACTTGCACTTCTATATGCATTGACATTTTGTATTCTGTATGAATTGATTTCAAATGGACTACTATTATATTAGAACTCATTTATTCAGCAGTAATGATACTACAGAAATTAAAAAAAAATCACATGTTCTCATTAAATTAATAAATAACTAGTGCTAATTGTAACGGGGACCGTTACAGATGTTCCCCAAACGCTCCCCAACTCCCTTTTATAGTCATATTCGCTGTAAGCGTAATTAAATAAGACAAACTCTATGCATTTGAGACTTTAACAACGTTTACCCAAAAGTGTACCATGTTCATTCAAATTTTATCATTGCACACTTGCGCATGTAAATGCATGTGCGTAATGACCATATCATATTGTCTACACAATCTATATATTTTAATACGCTAAATATTAAAGTATTTAATCCAAAAGTTTTAAAAAAACGCTCATTCAAGTGTATTTTTATTTTACCGATTTCACGTGCACGCACGTGCATACATGAGCATGATGACCTTACATTACATCTATCTATGTTCTAAATCTCACCCCGTTTGGTTGAAAACCAAGGGAGTTATAGCTATTTAAAGTTTCAGCCAATCAGATTGCAGCGCACATACACGCACATGTATGCATGTGCATGGTGACCATACCTTCTTGTAGAAGTCCATTATATATATCTATGCTCCAAATCCCATCCTGTTTGGTTGAAAACCAAAGGAGTAATAGCTGTTTAAAGTTTCAGCCAATCAGATTGCAGGGTACACGCACGTGCATGCATGTGCATTGTGACCATACCTTCTTGTAGAAGTCCATTATATATATCTATGTTCCAAATCCCATCCTGTTTGGTTGAAAACCAAGGGAGTTATAGCTATTTAAAGTTTCAGCCAATCAGATTGCAGCGCACGTGCATACACGTGCTTTCA